GCTATTTTTGACACAAATGGTTTCTAGTCCAGTCCAGTGTGAAAATAAATTGAAAAAATAACCTCGATCACACTTTTAGTGCATGCACAAGTTTTTAATTTTTTTTTTTACAATTTTGGTTGGCTTCTATGTAGATAGCTCTTATAATTTATGGCATATTTTAGAGTCTTTATGCTCCATTTAACAATTCAGCAATTACTAAAGATACAAAAGATGTTACCTTTTTGGAGCATATTATTATCCTGTTACAACACCTGTATTTAGAGGTGTTAAGAAAAAACTATAAAATACTTACTGTAGCATAAGATTAATAAAAAAGCCGTTTTAGTCAAATATTTGTCTGTGTTTTTGCTGCCACCTTGCATGCTGCACAAGCTCATATACAACTGTGTGTTCATGTTAATGGACTATATAGACAAGATAAGTTTATCGATCTGCATAAGGCTCAGTCTGTTTGTGGATCCATGCACGTATCTGATGTAGTTAAATAAGTGTGCAAGTGAAGAGAGTAAATATAATAGGCAATTTTTCTTTTAGGATATTGATGATTAACAGGGTCCAGAGGGAAAGTAATTATGAGCAGCTGTGCTGTGTTTAATCAGTTCTTGTTTGTTATACCCACAGATTTTATTGGTCTGTTGTAAGATGTTGTTGCTCGGCATTTTAAGGGCAGTGTCTTGTGATATTTTTTTAGCTGTCATAAGTTAAATTCAGTTCAGTTTATTTATACAGCTCAAATTCACAATGTATGTAATCTAAAAGTACTTGCCAAGAAAGCAAATTCAATCCAATCATAAAGACTAGATTATGAGTCAGTTACATGCATCCTGTATTAAACTCAGGTTCAGTTGATTATTTAAATTTGTAGGGCTGCATATTAAAAGTGGTTCTTGTAAAAAAAGGGAAGGAAATATAGGTGAGAAAATTGATTGGATTAATTGTGATTAATCTATTATCAAAATAATCATCAACTAATTTACTAATTGATTAATCGTTAACTGGAGTAAAGAGACTGTAAAACATGCCTTAAGCTGACATAGCAACCCACCTTCAGCAGGGACTATACCAAAATTGTAAAAAAAAATATAAACATTTTGCATTTAAGATAAAAAAAAAAAAAAAGTTTTTTGTCTGATAATATGCTCTATACAGGACTCCTCAGGAGGAAAAGATTTAGTTTCAACTGGTTCTTTTTGCCAAAAGTCTTCTTTATAGAACCTTTTACTATCCGATTATTAATCGATTAATCAAAAAAATAACTGACAGATTAATCGATTTGCAAAATAATCGTTAGTTGCAGCCCTAGCAGCCTGCTGCTGATATCGACCCAGAGTACGAATCATTGGGACTGATTATCCATTTCTTATTCTCTTTATTGACTGTTCTCACTCATCCAGTCTAGCTCATATCGATTTAAACAAGTGTGAAGTTAAAATTGGGTGTTCAACTTACATCTTTCTTTTTAAGCTTACAGTATATTTGTTGAAGGTCACAAGGGTGTAAGATGACCTTGTAGAAACTTAGCAGAGTTTCTTAACAGGATAAACATCTGTGCAGAAGCTGGGAATGGTCAGTTTGAAATAGGTGTTGTTTACATTGGTTATTGGTTCCATGTACTTAGAGATTCACTTCCATACAGAAAGCCCATATTCTTATCTTCAGGTAACACAGAGTACATGTCAGATTAAATAATGCTACTTATACTTCAGCAATAGTATCTAGGTGTTACTTTATTGTATGTCTTGTAACATGTCCGTTGGTTGTGCTGTCCTTTTTACATCTCTTTGCAGGTGATGAAGTAGACTGAATATGTTTTATCATTATCTCCCTTTTATCTCCTCTTTCTTTCATCTTTTCTCCTTTTTTTCTGTTTCCCTTTCCTGTTCTACCTACATTGCAGTGTCCATATAATCTGTAAAACTCCCTGCATAATTATAATTAAGCAATTTATATGCATAAAACAAGTGGAACACTATGGCGATAGCCGTACTGCTCCTCTTGTGAAAGTAAAATCTGTTGGGCTCTTTTTGGTATCAAGACAATTATTCTTATTGCCACATTGCCAGATAGGACACTGTTAAAAAAAAGAAGAAATAGGTGTTGTTTAAACAGTAACAAGCAAGAGCAATTAGTAAAACAGTTACTATGAAACACCTCAAGAGGTCAGTTGTGTGGAAACCATTGTGTTGTGTAAAAGAGTTTCTGTTAATGTTTTGTAACCTCTTTTACGCACGAAAGTGATCTAAATGTAGAGGGGGAATGAGCCACCCCAGTCAGAGCTCACTGAGAGATTTTGTGTAACTGTGAGCTCTCTACTTGCAAGTGTCTAAATTAAAAGGAAGCTTTGTTCCTTGCATTCTGCTGTGTATCAGTCTCCAATTTCTAACAGACTTTACACAAGACATTTATTTAAAAAGATTGTTATAAAATAAATGTCTTGTTTAAAAGTTTTCTATCTATGTTCACAGTTTGAAAAATAAGTAACCCAGTTATTTTGAATGTTTTGAACACCTGCTATACTTAACTCGTAGTAACTTCTTTAACAAGCATCAGGTAGCTTAACATGCTCTGTACTGTTTTCTGTTACAGATGTAAAAATGTTCTGTTATTTGATTTGCTGTTTGGTCAGAATCCTATTTGAATATGTGATAAAGTTTCTGTATTTACCAATGAAATGTTCAAGCTAAAGTATTCATGATTTGACTTTTCTCAGGTTCTTTAAGAGTTACCGGCAATCAACTACAGAGAAATGTCTGGTAATCCTGCTGTGGTGATGCGGCTGGTGGCGTCGGCTTATTCAGTGGCTGAAAAGGCTGGGGCCATAGTAAGGAAGGTGCTTCACAGCGGAGAGCTTGGCATCGTAGAAAAGGTATGAGCTGTCTAGATTTATTTGGAAGGACAGACCAGTGGAGAAATTAACTAGTTTTAAATTGATTTTTATGTATTTTTGTATCTTTTGCACAGACAGGAGCTAATGATCTCCAGACGCTCGCGGACCGACTGGCACAGAAAAGCATTTGTGCCTCACTGTACAGAAGTTTCCCCAACATCACCATCATTGGAGAGGAGGTAACTGAGTACTGAGTCATTTATAAAACTTTATTATGTTAAATCAGCACAATAAAATGCATTTTTGCTTTCGGTTGTTTGCAGGATCTTCCGTCTGAGGAGGTGCAGGAGGATCTGATTGAGAGTGGCCAAGCAGAAGAAATCCTTCAGAAAAGCTGTCCAGAAGATTATAAGGCACTCAAAGAAGAAGAAGTAGGAGAGAAAATGCTTACATAATTTTTTTTTTAGTTCTTAGAGGGTTTAAAATGTCCTTCCTTACCGTATGCATGTCTGATTGTAAAATGTTTGTGTGATTCACAGCTAGTTGTTTGGGTGGATCCCCTTGATGGCACAAAGGAATATACTGAAGGTCAGTGGGGTTTTTTTAATTATTTTTTAAGCATTTTCTCAAAATTCTTCTTGATGATAAAATAAATCTTACGGCAAAATGAAGCCAAAAAGGGTTAAAAAAAATAAATAAAAAATCAAGTATCCACAGATTTTAATTACCCCAGGAGTTTTTGGCTGCTAATTATTGTGTGCACCAGTTAGTTTGATTGGTTTGGTTCTCTTTCCTCACTGCTACACCATAACTTTCATAGCGTTTGCGTTTGTTTTTGTTTCCTTGGGCTCCTCTGCTACCTTCCTCTCTATTGTCCTTTCTTTGCTGCCTTCAGCTTCAAGGTGTCTCCATCTACAAGATGTTGTCCAGAAACCACTGAAAGGGTTGAACAAGACTCACGGCACAGCTATCTGTATGGCAGTGTAGAATGTGCACTTTTAATGGCCACTTCAGAATTATTTCCCAGTCAGACAAAAGGTGGTAATATAGCCTTTTTACTTCAACTAAACTTCTCGTTTCTGGATTTAGGGCTGTTGGACAACGTGACAGTTCTCATTGGTATTGCTTATGAAGGCAGAGCAATTGCCGGCGTCATCAACCAGCCATTCTACAACTACCAGGTTCAAACCAGACTGTGAAATATCTGCATATTTGCTTTAAAAGATGCACCACTCACTTGTTTTGGTGCCTTTCTCACCAGCTTGGATCAGGAGCAGCTTTAGGGAGAACGATGTGGGGAATGCTTGGATTGGGCGCATTTGGGTTCGAGCTGCGGGAAGTTCCAGCCGATAAGCGAATTGTCACCACCACCCGTTCCCATAGCAACAAGACAGTGACAGACTGTGTTAACGCCATGGAGCCTCACGAAGTTATAAGAGTAGGGGGTGCTGGGAACAAGGTGAGTCGGATTTGAAGCTTAAAGCTGTAGGGAAGTCATATTTGAATGTCAAATCATTCTGGTTTAAATATGTACATAAATGTACTCTTTATCAGACTATATTGTCCCAAAATTTAGAAAATATCTATTTAAAAAAAAAATCCTGTCTTAAAATCTGTTGGGATTTTTCGCTATGTTATGCAGGCCAGTTAGTTATATGTCAGCTTGTACACCTAAATCCGGCCAATCGTATATCAACGATAGTCTGTGAATAACATTTATTCGGTCATAGCATCTTGATTCATATTTTAGAAGCTAATATACGCAATGGTTGAAATAAGAAATAAGAATCATTTGCTTTACCATTGAGTACGTCCCAGTGGTCGTGGGGATGGACGTCTGTGTCTTCAGCAGGCGTAGAGCTAACAGAACTGGCAGCATTGTGAGAGAAAGGCTCAAACATGTACAGCTGTAAGCCTTCTACACCAAACCAAGCTTCTGCCGCCCTGGTGTCATCTTCCAGAACATCTTCGTCCCCGCTTTCCTCCTATAATAAAAAATGTATGCTGGAGGAGACTCATCCATGAACTCCGACACAAAACTCTCCTCCTTTTGCATGTTTCCGCTGTCCATAGCGTTCCTTGACAGCGTCGTTTCTAAGTCACCAATTTAGTGCTACTTGGTCCCAATGTAATTTCCCATTGGGAACCTACTAGCACTAAGTTGCTAACTAGTTAGCAAGATGCTTCTGAGACACCGGCCACAACCGAACTTGCTTGCAAATCTTCCGCCACAACAATCCCGCCCCCTTGGTAAACGACCAATCACATTCACTCTATACACTAGTGTAAAGTTGGGCACCACTCGGGAGAATTCGAAAATGCAACGGTTGGAACAGCTGCTTCCCTACGACTTTTAAGTGCTCTAGATGTTGTAAACGTACATAATGGGGAACATGTTAGCACACTTTCATTTATTTGGACATAAAGCTTTAAAGGAGGATCAGAATTTACAGATCTGCTTGGAGATTGGTTTAAAAATAAAGCTAATATTGTATTTTCTGGACTATAGAGCACACCTCACTATAAGCTGCGCACACTGAATAAAAAAACAACAACAAAAAAACTGGAAACGTACATATATAAGCCGCACAGGCTATAAGCCACTGATATCTACTGAATTGTCTACTACTAAACCTGTAGGGGGAGCTCTACATATAGCCACCAGAGAAGGGATGAAGAAGAATGCTAGCTCCTGTTACCTTGTTTGTTCGCAGCAGTAAGATCTTCAACTGAAAGATGGGGCTTCGTCAGCTCTTTATTTCTGCTCTGCAGGAGTTTAGCCCAGTTTCTTCCTTGGTTTGGCAGCTTTAATAGTTGATATTTATAAATATTGATTCGTTTTTTTAGTTTAAGCTAAAACTAGGGTGACCAAACGTCCGTATTTCCCGGGACATATCCGTATTTCACGTCCTGTCCCGGGCGTCCCGGTTTTTTTTTAGAAAGTGAGGAAATGTCCTGATTTCACTGCGCACGACGCTCCGTGTGACGTAATCCCTGAGCCGCGTCAGTGCAGGCAGCCCTGTTCTTAATCAGAGGCTCTGTTCGAAAACCTGGGCTGCATCCTCCAAGGACGCGGTCTACCTAGACTGGATCCTTCGAAGTCCTTGAAAATAAGGAGGCCGGAAGAGTTCTGTCTGTAAATTCGAACAGGTCCACCCTTCGGCGGGTTTTACCGCCGTATGCTCTGTTGCTTAGCAACCGTGAAAGTTGACACACAAAGCAGGAAAAGAATGAATACCGAGGTTTTCAAAACTGTTTGTTTATTTATTTATTTTTTAAAAAGTTAAAGTGAACAAAGACTACACTCACAAGAATCCAGAGTGGAATAAAGGTTCCAACCACCGGGAGCAGGAACAAATAAAATCAAATGTAATGATAGAAACCTTAGTCATTTAAATAACCTGCTGCTGTCATTTTGCACATCTCTGATGTTGCTGCTATTTTCAAATATCCATTATTGTAAAAATGTCCATAGCTGCATATTGGTTATTTATTCTCCAGTTTTATATTGTTAAAACACTTTACAGAATTTTATTTTTTATATTTTAACTCTTCCCTATTATGTTATTCTTATACATTTTTCTAAGGTCCTTATTTGTGTGACCATTTTCAATAATCTTTTTGCTGCTGTAAATTTGCCCATTGTGGGACAATGAAGGGATTTTCTATTCTATTCTATAAAAGGGTTAGAAATATATAAGTAAATCTAAACAATGTATCTACAAAATATATCTGCAAAATCTCTAATATTCAACAACAAAAAATACTTAGTTAAGCATATTGTGCAAAACAACAATAAAAAAATTAAACTCCTATCAGATTTATAGTTCCCACTCTGCAGATCTATTAGAATCTGTCCTTAAATTACAGCCAAACTCATTTACACAGTAACAGATTAAAACCTTTAGATAAACCAAACATTACCGCCACATATCTGACTCAATAACCATTAAAACAACTATTTTCATTAATTTCAGACGGAACTATTCACAGAGTTGTATTATATTAAACTGAACTTCAAATTTTCACAACTGTTCTGCGCCAAGTAACCTTTCCTCTGATCACGGAGCAAATCCCGATGAGACATTTGTTCTTTCAATATCAATAAGTCGAGAGTTTAGATTATTTCCTCTGCCTACATCACCCAGAATGCTTTGTAGTTCTGGATTAAAGTTCAGTGAAATCATTTAAAGTATTATAAAAAAATAATATTTTCTATTAATATTGATGAGGTGTCTTTTGAAATATCTATTGTTATTGTTTTATTGCAGTGACCTTATTGCACAAAAAAGAGATTTGGTTTATATTTTAAGAACTCCAGCTAATTGACTCCCCTTCTTCAGATAATCCAGCTCATTGAAGGGAAAGCTTCTGCCTATGTTTTTGCCAGTCCAGGGTGTAAAAAATGGGATACCTGTGCTCCAGAGGCAATACTACATGCTGTCGGAGGTAACAAAGGTTTTTAAGCATTCAAAAGAGGTTTTCTGTAAATGATGATGTTAAGGATAAATGGTCTCATCTGTTTGTTTTTTTTTCCTGGTACAGGAAGACTGACCGACATGTTTGGGAATACTTACTGCTATAATGCAGATGTAAAGCACATGAACTCTGCAGGGGTTCTTGCTACACTACGCAATCATGATTACTACGTCAACAGGGTGCCACCATCTGTGCAGCAAGCCCTTAAGTCAAAATGAGGACTGTCATGATGGCGGTCTGGGACAAAAGAAGTTCTTGGTCCTTCTATTTCTGTCTTCTGTTTTGTTTTTTTTATGACAATTAGATTTTTTTTTTTTGCCACAATACTTCTTTTATAATCTTGTTAAGAAACTTTGGCCTGAGAATTTACTTCAAAGCAGGGATTGGAGGCTCAGCATGTCCCTCCAATCCCTCTAACTTTGGTTAAACTTTGCAACCTGGTTGATGTCATTGACTTTGTTTCATGGTTGCTCTCTAACTACTTTACTGTGTGACAAGTTTTGTCAAAGTGATTTTTATGGGTTTGGCAGTAATCAGATATGGGTGCAGCTGCTAATAGTTTGGCACCTTTCCAGAAATTAGGTTCATTTGAGGTGATTTATAATATAAACAATAGCAATTTATTTTTCAAAAGGCTTTACTTCTTTAATATGATTTGAACTAAAACTCTTTTAGAACCACTGATTGGTCGCTCTGCTTTTTTTAGGATCCGGGGTTTAGACAGCCCTACTACTAATATGTACTGAAAGAAATATGTTTATTGTTAAAAGAACCATTTTTGTCATAATTGGTTAAAGTTATCAACAGACTTCAAAGTGGTTATTTGACATTAGCTTTGTTTAAAAGCAAAGTCATTTTAAAAAGGTGCCAAGAGTAACCCCTTCAAACTTATAAGTAGTTGCTTTTATACATTTTTTGCCTTTTTTAAAAACAATAAATGCAGTTATTGTAAAAGGTTTCAGCTTGTGATCCTTATGTAACACTTGTTTAAAATAGAAAATTGCTTTAATACTTTTTTGAATACGTTTTTTTTATTCTAATTAGTTAAAACTAATAGGTCTGAGGGGGATAAGTCTAATGTTTATCAATGTTTTAGTTATCAATGTCAAATAAAAACTGAATTTAACAGAAAAGTAAAATCTCTTTTTTTGTTCTTTGATAAGAACTCATTTTTATGGTGTTTTTGTGCATATTGTGTCAAAAAGCTAGAGATGAATGTGAAAATAAAATGAATATAAGAAATTTGAAATCAAAACATTCATGTAAGTTTAACCCATAAACCCATAAATTACTAAATATGTCAATAAAATCTCATGGTTTTTTTTGATCATTATAAATATGCTTTGCTCATTTGTAAGTGCCTGAATCAATATATTTTACGCTGTTATAAGTATTATCTAAATGTTTTATTGTTTGTTTTAAATGAAGAACACACTCAGACATATCATACACCAGTAAAATAAAACACTTTTTTTTTAGGTCCATCAAACCTTCAATCATTTATTTTTACCAATAAATACAATTTTAAATTGAGAAATGTAAAAATGCGTTTAAATTACAACAATATGCCTTTACAAAATTAGTTGGTCACGAAAGTTTCAGAGAAATTGAACAGCTGGATGGAACAGACCAACTGGTGGTGAACGTCACCAAACTAAACAAAAGTATCACAGTAATCTTGCTATGGAGCGTGGGAACCAATGAAAAGGTCATTATAGGAAACTAATATGTAGTTTTAAAACCCATGTCACAAATTCAAAACCCAGCTGCTCAGTTAGGATTTCAGTTTCCACCCCTCTTGTTTTTTTTACGTTGAACGATGGACATAATGAGGAAGCAGATGAGGGCGCCAACCAGTAAACTTGCAACTCCTGCAACCGCGGGCACCCATACTTGAACGGTGGTGGTGGTGCTTTCAGGGCTTGATGCTTGACTGTTGATTTTAGTGCGGATAAAGGGGGAGGTCTGTGGAAAAATATGAAATTGTACAATAAACAGTCTGAAGTTGTACTAGATGTAGTGTTCAATATCAAGCATATAAGTATATTTTTCATTTGGGAATACTAATAGTAGCTCATTACAGTAGAATACTAACAGCATTTTTCTAGTGTTTAGATAAAACCGCACAATATTATCGTTAACAAGCTTTTGCATAGTTCTGCCCAAATACTTGGCCACTTTTATTAGAAAAGATTATTTATTTAAATTAGATGTTTTTTGGCACAGGGTAAAACCTATGTTTTAGGAAGGTTGATCCAGTAAAGTTATGTGTTTAAAACTACTTTCCTGCCTGAACAACAAGTCGGAGGATGATAAGCAGGAAAAGTCAAAAGAACTCAGAAACAATGGTGTATGTTTGGAGGATTCAAGGCAAAGATTCCAAATCTAAGAAAACTTTACCTAGTTTGAAACATGGCAGTGATAGGACTGTGTTAAAGGTCTGTTTTGTCACCATTGGTTTGCAGAAAAAGGAAGAAAAGATAACATTCTAACAGCCATCAAATCTAGTTTGGATGAAAAAAGATGGTCAAAATTAACTTTCTTAAATGGCCACACTAAAGTTTAGGGCTGAAACAATCAATAAATTGATTATTGAAATAATCGTCAACAAATTCAGTAATTTAGCAACCACATTAGAGCAGTAATTATATGAAAATTGTAAAAAAAATATGTATATATATATATATTTTTTAATATTTTGCATTTACGCTAAAAAAAAAAAAATTACTTTGTAGTCTGTCAATATGCTCTATCCTGAACTCCTTAAGTGGAAACATTTTAGTTTCACCTGGCTTAAATCTGTAAAAAAATCTTCTCCAAGGAACCTTTTGCCATCCGATTATTAATCGATTAATTGAAAAAATTATGTACAGATTAATCGATAAGCAAAATAATCATTGCTTGCAGCCCTCAAAGTTACATCGCTAACCAATTGAAAATTATTTGAAGGTTAGATTGCACAATTAATCTTAACAAATTAAATGAAGGTAAAAAAATTTATCCAGCAAGTGTTCATATATCCACCCAAAATTATGCAAAAAGCTTGTTGATTACTACATTAAATGCAGGGCAATTAGCAGTATTTAGACCTGACGTCTATCAAGGAAAATCTGAAACAATTGCTGATAATTTATAAAAATCTATCTGAAACTCTTGTCAACACACGATATAAAAAAAAAAATACAAAAAAGGCAAAATCGAGGATTTCATGCCAATGTGTACAGAATTGCACAAGTGCTGTATAAAGAATTTTATGCAGCTAAACTAAAACAACACAGTTGACCAAGTGCTGTACACAAGTATACAATTAAAACACACACACACACACATATATATATATGTATGTATGTATCTTAAACAATAAACTTAAACTTGCAGGGGAATTCCTGCATAAATCTATGAGATATATAGATACCTCAGAGGGGCAGTTAATCTTGGAGCGATCGTGTGTGAAGTTGTTGTATGTCTGCTTCCTTCCAACAGGCTCCAGCTGAAACAGGAAAAACAACAACAAAAAACGTTGCTTCAAAGAATCCAAAGTAGATGCACCCGATATGGGCTTTCTCCACAAGTGCACAAAGCTCACCATGTTGTTCCACAGTGCGATGGCCATCTCTGCATGAGCCCGTTCACTCATGTGGAAACAGTCCACAGAGAAGAAACTTGTGTCTGTCTCACCCGTCTGTTAAAAATCAGTTATATAAAACATTAGTTAATTTGTGTGATGCATTGTTTTATTTTACTTGTCTGATTATGTTTTCTGAGGCTCACTCCAGTTTGAGGGAAGAAGGAATAGTGGAAAAAGGGTTGCAATACAACAGCAAAGTCTTCCTTTCCATCATAGCGATCTCCAGAAATAAGATACTCAATCTCAGTCTGGAAAAACAAAGATAATTACTTTATCATAAAAGAAAAACACCTTTTAGAATTCAAAGCTATTATGTTATTACCTGGTAATTGCGATTTATTAGTTTAATTTCCTCAAACTGTGGAGAGCTGCTATGTGGACCGATAATACACTGACAGCTGGAACTATATGAATAAAAAAACACATTTTGTAATCTTTAGTTTCTTGACAAATAATAAATTATAAACCACTAGTAAGGATTTAACAATAATTACCTGTGATTATAAATTAGTACCTCATCTGATAAAAGTTCATGGTTTGTTTTTTTAACTACATAAAAAGCTGCCAGTCAGTTGATTGACATCTATGAATGGGCTGTCTATTTCAGCCACTCATTAGATCAGAACATTTGAACTTTACTGATTTAGATTTTCGATAGCTTGGATGATCTTGAATCACCAATATGATAATGGAATACATGTGTGGTAGGTTCATAAAATAATCCCCTCTCACCCTAATAGTAACACATTGAGATATTCTTAGATCAGAAAACCTTTTCATTACAGAGAAGGTAATGAATTATGTATGACTAGGAAACTGTAAAAATAACCTAGCAATATCAAAACATACATCAAATAATTTGATGTGGTTTATGGTTGAGATAATCAGCTAAATCTTTTGTTTTTTTATCCATATATTTGTGGAGATCCTGACAATTCCTAAAGCAAAGTTTCACATACTTTTACTATTTATAAGCATAAAATATTACAGTAAACAAACATTAACATTCATATTGTGTAATCCTATATCTGTCATCTAACACGATGTTATTAAAAGTCTTAAAACGTGTTTCAAGGCTTGAGAACTAACCTTTGCAGCAGTGAACAGCCCAATGTGTCCTTTTTGACTGTTTTAAATACATCCATCTGCATGATATTTACCAGATTGACCAAAACTCTTGGCATCTAGAAAACCCAGAGAAAAGAGACAGACCATTACAATGTATTTTATCATAGGTGAGCACTTTATTGCATACTTTTTTGTTTTGTTTTTTTACCTCTTCATACAGCTTGTCCAAACTAAGCATTAGGTTGTCGATATATTTTTTTGGTGACAAATTATTCTGTAAAAAAGAATTCAGGTGAACAATTCATTAAAATAGCTTGAAAAGGGTTTTTAATGTTTTTTTTTTTTTTTACCAAACATGTATATAACTTACTTGATCCAAGCAGTAATTACAAATATCTGCTGTTCCGATGAAAATAGTCACAAGTTTCCAGTCAGTTTCATAATTCATCTCCTGTGTTGCAAAGTAGAAATTATGATTATATAAATAACAGATAAGGTTTGCTATGAGTTTTAAAAATTTGAGGAAAGTCTTACTTTATTTTCCTTCATAGCCTTAATAAGAGCTTGGACTTGTGCAGGAAGATCTCTGTGACAGAAAAGAGATGTGAGAAGATGTTAACATTTGACAACTTTACTCAACTGAAGAAACATTTAAAAGACAAATGCATACGAGCTCTTTGCTCCAGCAGCAGCCATGTTGAAGCCTGTGTGGACTTGTTCTTCATCTTTGGAGAAACCCTTTAAATTTGAGTTAAACTTCTTCAAGATATCTGAGAAAAAAACAGTAAGCAGTTAAAACAAAATCATTGTGAAATAAATCTGCAATGATTATCTGTTTTATTAAAAAAGCACTACATGCTAAATGCAATCAAGATCCGTTTAATGACTAAGTGAAATAAAAACCTAATGGGTTTTTGTATTTTAAAAGACCTAAAATGCAAAACCCACTTAGAAAAACTTGTTTTAGGAAAGGCAGTTTTTGAAAAACTGCGCAAGAGGAAGGCAGAACATTTGTAAGTCGCAGTGAAATGAGGGTAGAATATAGCCTTGCAGATGAGACCAAATGCAAATTCTTAAACTGTCATTGCACACACCATAATAGGAGGAGAAATATCTATGCAGTTTTTGAAAAACTTACTCGGTAGTGTTGTGACAGTCTCTAAAGTTTGATCCCCTCCAATGCTGCAGGGAAAGAATGCAACAATTGTTATAGGCTTGATAAAATGTGATGTTGAACTGTAAATAAAAGTAGGAATATACCTCCATGATACTCCTTTGAATTCTTGATCCAGCTGAAAGAGGTCATTTGATTTTGCACCAGTTCCTGTCTGTTGAGTTGAAGACACAGAAATAAGGATGAGTGTGTGAGACGACTAGGATCTCTGGTAAATCAGAGATTTAATGCTTTGCATTAAAAACTTTGGGCTACCCAACTCATTCTAAACTGCATAGTTCTGCAATGATGGGTTAATTGTTACACATTCCTATAAAATTCCAAAGAATCAGTAACCTTTAAATGAAGGTATATTTGTCTTCCTCTACTTACTGTGAAAGAGTCTCCCAGTGCTGCCACCACCTGGATATCTGATGGTCTCAGCTTGTGAACTAAAGAAAAGAGCAGATTTAGTCAGCCAACATTAAGGTGCATAAGTAACACCTTTTGAAATTCCTTTTTTCTTTAAATCAAAGGAAAAACAAGGGAAATTGACAAATTTTTTATTTCACTAATAAAAAACAATCAAATATACCCTAACTGCATGATGACAGTGTGTCTCACCTGAAGTCGGTTGACTTTCAGATGGAGCAAAGTTGCCGCAGGCAAAATCACTTCCCCAATTCTAAGGAAATAGGAAAAGAAGGATAAATCTGTTTTTTCTCTGTACTTGAAGAATATTTGACAGCTTAAAACTTAATCGATATAAACCTACCAAAATAGGTTCAGGTGTTGAAGGGAGTTCAGAATAAATGTAATCACTGTTCTTATAGGTACGAATAAAGGGTGAGGCCTGAAGAGAAAGGGGAAATTGTAAATAAAATTTTCTGGAAAATTAACTTTAAAAATATCAAATATAAATTTAACTTCCATACATTTGCGGGACATTTCAGATCAAAATTAGAGCTAAAGTCCTGGCTGGATGTTTTGCTGCCCAAAGGCTCCAGCTGTAAAGATAAAAGAAAGTAAAGCATATAATATATGATATTCATGGTCCAAAAAATGAAAAAGCTGTATCTATGCTACTTTATGACAGTCAGCCTGTGTGAAAGATTGTTTAAGTATAAAAATCTGTCATTTATTCACCATGTTGTTCCAAAGAGAGCGTGCCATGACGGTATGGGCTTTTCGGCTGAGGTGGAAGCAGTCAGCGCTGAAGAAAGAACGATCTGCACGGCCATCCTAAGCAAAATGTGGCAGCAAATCAAATTTCACATGTACTTTTCTCAAGCTATGATACTAAAATGCTGAATAGATGTTATATGTTATAGAAAAAAGACGGTTGAACTCTTAAACGGTTTAAGTAGAATAAATAGGATTTAAGACATTATTGTTATACTCTTTTTTAATTTGTTATGTTGATCTGAGTTTATAAAATCTTTTAGTAATCTATTATTCTATTAATAATGTAAACAGATTCCAATTTCTCCATGTCATCCTCTGAATGGGAAAGACTAGACCAGGTTATATAGAAAAAGGACAATTGTATGATGATGATGTTTTGCCCAGAAACTATCTACAAATAATATAAACATTTGACAAATATTCCCCTTATCTACAGTAAGAAATAATTATGCAAAGTTATTTGTTTTGATAAACAAGACTGGATTAGGATCCAAGTTTATCTGGCAACAACAGAGAGGATGAGTGTAAGGGAGGTATGGCATGAGAATTGGAGGAGTGGTGGCCAAGTGGTTATGGCATAGAGTTTGGAATCCTGAGGTTCTGAGTTTGAGCCCCACTCCCACAGACTGCCACTCTGGGTCTCAACAAAACCCTTAACCCCACACTTCTCCCCTAGGGGATAGGTTAAATGCAGACGTAAATTTCTCCAATGTGAGATTACTGAAAGTTCAATCATTATTACCGGTATTAAAATCACCAGCGCTGCACCAAACAAGTAGTAGAGTTTTTATAATAACTATTTACTTAAGGGCTTTTCTAAACATCAAGTAATAGATGCAAAATCTGCATGCCTGTATTTAAAAAGCATTTAATTTAATTACTTTATTGATCTTTCTCTTAATGAGAAAAGCATAGGATATTATTTTATTACTGACCTCCAGTCTGGGTAAAGTGATGTCTCTGAGGAATGGCTGGATAACCACAGTGAAGTCTGTGCGTGTATCATAGCGGCCGGACTCAATAAGACCATGCAGCGATTGCTGAAAGTTTAAAGTAGTGACCATGCCCATTAATTGTGACCATAACTTGTTTTATTTTGTGTTGTTTTCACTTTTTATACCTGATATCCTCTGTTAATAGTCTCCAACTCCTTTAGAGCTACAGAATTGGCTTCTGGCAAAACAACACAAGGGCACAGCATACTGCCAAAGACAAAAAAACATTGTTTATGGTAAGATGTTAATTAGATAAATTATCAGGAAAGCAAGCAATATCTAATGAAAATATGAAAAGACATTCACCTCATAAGCCATGTTGGACACTTCAGTGATGTGTCCGTGTACATCTCTCTAAGCGGGGTTATATAAAGAGGTTCAACGAGGTTAACAAAAGCTCGGGGGACCTAGAAAAGATAGCCTTGATTAATTTCTAATACTGAGGTAGCCATTTTAAATTAGAAACACCTCATGACAAAATGAGTATTACCTCCTTAAAGAGATAGTCTAAGCTTTCCTGAAGAAACCCGACATAGTTTTCCACAGAGTACAGAAGCTGTAAGTAAAGTAAAAACATGTTGCTTTATATGTCATCAAAGATAACTTCGTAATTATGTCTTCTTTCTTTCAAAGTTGATACTTACGCTGTTTTCACAGTATGCACAGACATCATTTCCTCCAATAAAAATAGTAATCACTTTCCAGTCATTTTCAAAGTTTACATTCTGGAGAAAAGAAGGTAAGGAGAGTTCAAATATACTAGTAGACTTTAGTTACGCTCTGTTCTTAGAAAATATAACTATGGACTTACAGGATCACTTTTCATTTTTGATACCAGAGTACGCACTTGTGACGGTATATCCCTGGGTACAGCAATACAGGACATGATCAAAGTTCTGTTTTCCTACTAAAAACTAAATAATGTTTAATTAACGATGGTCACTTATTGATAAAAGAAACAACTGTTGGACGTACCTGCTCTTCCCACCTGGCACTGCCTGGTTAAGGAAAGCTTTTGGATTGTTCTGATCACCAATACCAAGGGAGTAGCCCGTCACGTTGTGGTTGAAATGTCTCAAAATGTCTGTAAAGGAATAAAAATTATTTGGAAAAAGAAAGTTTGAATGTCAAAGAAAAATAATATATATATGTATACATATAAAAATCAATATAAACATGATATGATTGTGTAGTTAAGTATCAAAGATACTTACTGGGCAAAGTTGTTACAGTTGTGAGGTTTTCATCTCCACCAATACTGGCAACAAACATATAAAATGACTTTTACCAAGAGATATGAGCTTTATTGAACCATGATTTCAAAGCATATCAAAATAACAGATGAGATAAAACTATTAAAAAGGTAATAAAATTAGAGAGTCGTGACAAACCTCCAAGATAAGCCTCTGTACTGACGTATGACATCCAGGACATTGTTTGGGCTGGAAGCAATACCATTCCCTGCCTTGTAAAGAGAATAGAAAACTCCTTTAGTCATGCATTTGTACAGAAGACAAAGAATAAGTTGCCCAAAACATTTGTTTGATAAAAAGAAAAAAATGACTTACTGTCAAAGAATCCCCCACAGCTGCAACAACTTTGATATCTCCAGGCCGTAGTTCATGGACTAGAAAATAAAATGAATAAATGACTAAAATATCAAATGTTATTGTGTGATTTGAAATTTAACTCATAAAAAGAAGAGACCACAAGTCTGACTCAAGTTGGAATTCAATCTGGAGGAACTAATTACAAGAAGTACCTGCGGGAGGAATGCATTTCTTTGGCTGCAACTATATGTAAACTACATGCAAAAGTTTATATGATAAATAGCTGCAATATATGAAGATTTATCAATTTTATCAAGCTGAATCCTAAACAAGGAAATTATTTTATTTCTGATATGTTAATCTAATGGCGGTTTGACCGCTTGAGGGAATGCAAACTTTGCATTAAGTCTAAGATGGTCAGAGGATCATGAAGTATTGAAAAGGAATATTGTGAGGCAGTTAAGTTCCTGTAAAAAGGAGCCTTTTCTATCTTCCCACCCTGAGGATAGATCTTAGATAACTTGCTAAATGCACAATAAACCTCCACAAACATTCGTTTAAGTGAGTAAGTGACCGGACTTGATATTTTAAAAAGTGAGCTTTCCTTCTTCTTTCTTATGCCTGGACCTGCATAAATAAACCAGCATATGTATCAAATTAAGAAGCAGAGTGACAACATTACGATAGTTTAGCTACAACTGCTACAGTTTAAAGGGCTGGATGTTTAAATGAAACATTCAACTACATGTTTTATGGTTCAAAAACAAGAGCACTGAGTCAAAAAAAGAAATACTTATGTGGTTTTTTTTTAGATATTAACAAGGGCGTAGGTTTGATTTCAACTTTGGTAGGAACACTCTTAGTCTTCAGTTTCAATGGTCTGATGTCATTGGTCCTATGCAAAAATATGCATGCTCTTTTTTTATGCCTAATGTGAGCATCAGGGCACATTTTGTTTAAAGAGAACAGCAGCATTTCTTCCTAAATTAATACAAATCTTATAAGCACTAAACACACTAGATGCAGTTTATCAGTGTTTAAAGCATCACTGGCTCTGACGAATGTGGAATTAGAACTTTTTTCCATGTTGAAAAGGTTTGCATTTAAACTTACCAGCGACTAAGACAGTGTCTATTTAACCAAATATAGTCTAAATATGTCTGTTATATATGGATTTATCCTGTTTTCATTTGACGATATAGAATTGTGCAGGGGTAAACCCCACTCTTATTTTTTTATGTAATATGCTTTCTCTGTATCTTGCAAAATAAGACATTCAAGGGACGGCAAATAAATGTATTTACATGTGCACTGGAACTATAAGAGGAACTGACACTGAGCATTTGAAATATTAACTTCACTATACAAGTTGTACATATAGGCTGTAGTTACTCTGAGTAGCCCATTTCATGTATTTTACCTAGGGCTGAAACAATTAATCATATTAATCGATTATTTAAATAATCATCAACTAATTTAGTAATTGATATATCATTAACTGGAATTATAGGGCCACTAAAATGTGCATTCAGCTGACAGAGCGACCCACTTAGAGCAGGAATTATACCAAGATTGTAAAAAATATGTAAACATTTTGCATTTAACATTAAAAAAAAGTTTTTGTCTGTCAATAATCTTCATCCAGAACTCCTCAAGAGGAAACATTTCTGTTTTACCTGGTTTCATTTCATAAAAAATCTGATTATTCATTGTTTAATCGAAAAAATAATCAACAGATTAATCGATTTGCAGAATAATCATTAGTTGCAGCCCTAATTTTATGGTAGCATTCCAAACACATTTCTTCCATAATACAGCACTGAAGGGCAGCTGCTTCACCTTGAGGCTGCCCTGCAGCATTATATCTGTGTTCCCTACAATCATATAATTTTTCTATTATACAAGTCCATTTTTAATAGTAAAGGACTAAATGTAACACAACCTTTTATCATCATCCTATATTGCTTACTGTCTGATTGTTTAAATAGCTCCTTATGTCTATTTTGAAGCACAACGCTAAGAATGAGCCTAAGTTTATTCAAATATAAAATCACTTTTAACAATTATAAAAGACAATATAACACTATCTTATCTGTAATGTAATAGTATCCAAAATAAACAGCCAGATTGAAGCATTATTTGCCAGACATTAATGTTTGTACTAATTTACTTATGGACCGTGTGGAAATGTAGAAAAATAGAATCAGTGTAAATAGAGTTCATCTGTTTGTCTTTATTCTATTTCTAGAAGTAGAAGTCAATTAAATAGCACTATTTTATGTGGAAAACATAAAATAGCAGATCTTCAGCATCCTTCTCAATTTGTTATGTTCTAAAAAAGAAATAAAACCTGTTATTTATTCCTGAACTGCCATCAAAACTGAAAACAGTAATAGCAAAGAAATATTGGTAAAAGGGAATCAGAAATGTCGATAGCTTACAGTCTTTGTTCATTTTAACTGCAGTTTTCAGAACTGCTGTCTGACTCAGAATATTTAGTTTGATAAAAGAAATCCTACTTACATTTCTCAAGTTCCACAAATCAGTACTCTCTCCTGCTTCTTTACAGAACTGCAATCAGAAGCTTTTGCCTGTTTTAGCCTAGATAATATTTAGTTTTATAATTGGGAGTAGTTTCATAGCCTAATATTAATTCTGGTAACCGCTGTATTCTGGTGTAATCCAAGTAAGCACGCGCACACACATACAGACTAGAAAACAAGCAATCAGAAAGAGAGAAGGCAGAACTTAAGGCAGAAAAATCAGAGTGGAGTTGAACAGCGCAGCAAAGTTCCATGCGTTGCTATGTGAAAAGTAGGGGAAAGACCAGGCAGCTGCAGCTACCAGGCAGAGGAGCTGCTAGTGGAAAAGAAGTGGCTGCTGCTAAAATGCTGTATTATAAATTATAAACATGTTGTTCACATTTAATTATTGGGTAGGGACAAGTAGGTCGATCCAAAATGTTGGTAGGGACATGTCCCTATGGTCCCTATGCACACCTACACCCATGGATATTACTACCTAAATGAGGACATTAGTGAAAAGTCTAAAATAATTTTGGATTTCAAATAGAATGAACATTTTAGTACATAAAATTACCTGAATCGGGAACAGATGGTGAAGGACTGAGATCTTCGCAGGGCATCTCTGTGCCCGAATACTGATTATCAAGCACACATAGAGCATAATCACAATGAGATGATAGACATAGTGCTTCATAAAGCATTTAATTCAGCAGTGAATGATTCTCACCGTCTGAACGGGATTGTCTGCTTTGCTGTGTCGACTGGAAGGAGCGTTAACCTCTGTCCTCAGAAACTGTCGGTCCTTGTGAAAAATGAAGAGTATCCAAAAAGGGGGGAGGGAACATTAGAAATAAATATTTCTCTGTTGTCAACTGTATATGCTTGTATGACTGTCTGTGTGACCTTTCTGCATATATACTTACCTCAGTGGGGCAAAGCAATGTTTCAATGTATTTCTTCTCATCTGAAACATGTTGGGCGGCCATGGGCTGCAGCTGCAAGATACAATTACATGTAACATCCATAGAAAATGTACTTAAAGCACACACAAGTAAATAATTGCCTGTAAATGTCAAGTTGACACTTTCAGGTCTCACCAAGTTTCTCCACAACTGCAGCATCACTTCATCTGTGTGCTTCAGGCTCTCAAACTCTCCCAAAGGCTTTCCAGTCTATTAGCAACACAGAAAATATACATTCAACTTATCCCTGCTGATTTAAGAATTTTTTTTTTAAGAAAATGACCAAAATCAGATGTGCTAAATATGCTGGCACTCCTCACTAATAGAGATTGGAGCTGTAACTTAAACTCACAGATGACAAGCCTTTGATGAGAGGGGTCTCCTGAAGAGTGACAGTGAAGTCATCTCCGTTCCTGTACCAATGTTTCTGTGACATCAGTTCACCCAAGGACTCCTAAAAAACAGATTTTTGGAGGAAAGCAGTTTATCAGGAAGGGTTCAAGGTAGAAAAGTGTATTAACTGCACATGGTGGCATTTTGTCAGGGGGCAGCTCAATTGATTTTTATCTAAAATGCAAACCAGGGAAAATATGATTGCACACATACAAATGGCTACTGCCACTGAAATTGGTATTAGGTTCTTCAGCAATAGTATCAAGGTGTTACTTTATTGTATCTCTTATACTACATCCGTTGGTTGTGCTGTTCTTTTTACATCTCTTTGCAGGTGATGAAGCAGACTGAAGATGTTTATCGTTATCTCCCCTTTATCTGCCCTTTATTTTATCTTTTCTCCTTTTTTCCTGTTTTCCTTTCCTGTTCTACTTACATCACAGTGTCCATATATATTCTGTAATACTCCCTGCATGAATTATAATAAAGCTATTTATATGCATTAATCAAGCGGAACACAATGGCCATAACCATACTGCTTCACTTGTGAAAGCAAAATCTGTTGGGCTCTTTTTTTAGCATCAAGTCAATTATATAATGAAATCAAAATCAAGTAGACTGGTCAATTTTTATTTTAAATCACATTTTGAAATGTATCAATATATTTGTATGGCTTTATATGTGTTAAAGTATCTACCTATTTTGTTATTATAAATATTTTTGCCAGAAATAAAAGAAAATGTAAGAGTTAGTTCAGGATGAGAGTCATGAATTTGTTATATGAAGCACTTATGATGCTGTTCATACCCTTTATTTCTTTAAATATTTTTTTCCAGTGAGCAAATATTCCAGGATTCATACACTAGCTCACTTTAAAACATTGTGTTGAAATGAACAGCATTATTCAGTGGGAAGCAGAAACATACCTGCAGTGTGTGAGTCAGTACGGTTCTCTGAAGTTTCAGCTCTCCCTCACTGGTTTGGAGCATGCATGGGCACATCCTGTAAGCAATACACACTCACTTAACCAAAACCATGTGCAGCTGAAGTATTAGAAACAATTTTTTCAACAATTCTTTACTTTAAACCCATTATTTCATATTTTCAGCCTAATGAGTGGCTAGCATCATGATAAAAATAAACAGAAGCATTTTTGAATGAAGTATGTTTATGTGTTTTTGTAACTTAGTTTAAAATAAATTTATTTTACTTTTTATTTTGCTGCTTACTTTTTTTGAACAGTATCAAGGCCTCCGTCCCACAATGCAACACTGACGATGGTCCTTCTCAGCTGCAACAAAGGTAAGTATATTAGACTTCTAAAATACCTGCAAAAGAGCAATAACACCTTTTTTGACCTTTTATATATATACCTTAGAGCGCAGCAGTTGCACAGCACCATCTACCTCCTTGACCACACTTTTGAGATGAGACGAGATCTGCAGCATTAAGACAAAAATCATTTTTTGGACAATTTAGACATAACTTACCCTGGCACTTTACCAGGAAACTTTGTTTTGTGCTTTTAAAAGGTCCAAGTGTGATAAGGAAAAAAAATAACCTGGACTCTGTTCCTTTAAAGCTCTGAAGCAACAGTCTCTTTAAGCACCAATAAACCAGACAGTTTGATTGGTGGCCTTTGAAGCAACTGATAGAGCCATTTTTCCAATTCATCTTTCTGCATCAATGTCTATCACTTGTTTATCAGTTGGGTGACCCATGCAAATAACTTTCTGAGTGGCCTTATGTATTTCAAGTTTTTATTTATTTTTCTCTGTTAACATATTACAAATGAACAAAACAGAAGTAAAAATGAAGAATATCATGTAATATGGTTTTACTGAGGTGAAACAATGCCAAACATCCTTTTTTTAAACTGTCCATACATCCATCATGCATTCTTTTATGTGCGATTAAAACTTATAACTCTTCCTTATCCCTACGATCCTTCTGCTTTGATTACCTGCTGCTGCTGGTCACAGGCACAGAGTTGATCCAACGGAACAAAGAGAAGCACCAACTTCCAGTCTCCATTCTTATCAGAATCCTGTTTTAGAAGATCAGATCACATCAGATTTTTTTTTACCAGGTGTTTGTGTGCATTGAAAGTTTGATTTAGAAACAACAACATAAGTTCTTTTAAAAGTATTTCAGCACATATTCTTTAGAATATACATTAGATTAGGTGAGAAGTCAGGACACCATACTGGAGATCGACTTTGTGCTGCAAAAGCCTTTTATACCTATTTTAACCCCATTTTTCTTGTCCTCATTTTTGTAGCATTATTGTAAAAGTGTAATGATTACAAGAAAACCTAAACTACACAGAGATTTTACCTGCTTGCTCAGTAAGTATTTGGACACTTCCTTTGCTTGGTCCATCAGTCCGCTGTAAATAGTGAAAGGCATATAATAAGAACAAAAGACAGAACGATAAAGACACAGTTAAAATTGTTCTGTGACTAAAATAAACTAAACACACCTGTGTTGAGTAAACCCATATGTTTTAAAGCCTTTTTCATTTGAGAAGGGACTCTTCAGTCCAGGACTGAACAGAGTCATCAGTTCTGTTCAGGGAAAGATGGAAACAATAAAAAAAAAATAAAAAAACAGAACTTTGAGTTTTTGTCTTATTATCTTTAAACAACCAACACAAAAATTCAACAACAACTCAATGCTTATATTAAAGTAACTAAACTTCTTTCTAACGTCCTCGGGTACCAGAAGGTTCACGGAAAAGGTACATGGAGTAATCAATTTAAAATGAATTTACAATTCCTCTTTAATAATTAATTTTAAAATGTAATAATCTTTGAAAATATCATTTAGAATCTCATGGTTTAATGGTAAATTGGAAATGGCTGCTTTTCTTTTTAGAGACTTTCTAGTTCCTCAATACAATAAACCATATTTTTGAAAGCCCTAAATTTTAGCTGTATTAGATTTGACTTTTTTGATCATGGGCTCAACAGTTATACTTTGTATTGTTTCAGGAAGAAGGTCTTAGATTACAAATCCTGCCCCAGGCTCTCAATGCATGAATTTGACACATTCTCAGTTTCTTCCCATAGTCTAAATACATGGATGGTGGCACACAGGAACTTCCCCACTGAAGGGCAACAAAGGTTGTTTTGATTTTATTCTTTTCTCCTAATTGGGTTCCCTATAGTGTTAGTGAGAACACTGTGGATTTGTGAGGGGGGATTCCTACCCCCTTCCACAGTGATCAGATAGTCTCAACCCTTCCCATCTCTGCACAGATTGTAGAATTGATGGATACTTCTATCTATCTTAGATTTTGTTAATATCAGTGCATTAATGATAGCACAAAGTAATGCAATAAAAGCATTGATCGACCACATAAGAGCGCATATCTAATGTACCAAACAGAACAGGAAGACACAGTAACACCAAGTGTCAAAAAGAAAAAATAAACCAATACAAACAAACAAGGAGGAGAGAATGAAAATGAGAAAATTAAAAGCAGAAACGTACCTGTGAGTTTGGACAAGACTGTGGACAGTTCAGTGCTGCAGAGGAGAACCAAAACATTTATTTCCAGTCTTTTCAGGGAGATTTTACTATATTTCAAACCCAGATACACCCTTACCTTTGTTCATTAAGTCCAATGTAGGAAAGCACTGATATATCAGACGGTCTGACTTTGTCAGCTTGAGAGGAAAATATAAAGATGAGAGAATATTTCTCAGATTACATAAATCAAAAAATCATATCAGAAATGTGTAGTTATTAAAAAAATGCAATGAATAGAAACATTCCATAAAATAGAGTATGTAAAAACCTTGTGGAACAACTCATGCTTAATTCATACCAACTAATTTTAATTTTGATTAACTAAATGATTGATTGATAATCTGTTCTCTTACCTGTTAATGGGGACTGCTGGGAAGGAAAGCTCTGAGTGCAAGGGAGTCCAGCTGATGAGGAAAGGATAAAACAAGTTAACAAACCAAAAATGATAAATAAAAATGAGATCAAATACATCAATACTAAAATGACAAAAAAATGCATTTAGAGAAATTGTAAGAACATTTACTCCAAAGAACATTACTTATGTTTACAGAGGTAAGCATCAGATTCCCTCTTTGCAAACAAAGGTTATCATTTACATCCTACTGAGTCAGTTATACTCATCGGTTAAACTCATGACATCTTTAATTTGGCATGAATCTGAATGCTATAACTAAGTGATTCATAATCAACAGAGACCTGTTACACAGGTGAAACCCAGAAGAGAAATCAGAACCAGCTGCTCAAAAATCCTCTCCATCTTTGCTGCAGTTTTCACTCCTTCTCTGAATTCACTGCACTCCGTTCTTAACTTTCTTTCGCTGTCATTATCAGTTATAGCTAGAGACGTCAGACATCATCAGCCTCCATAAAGGGGAGGGGACTATTTATTTGTTCAAAGGACACAGCTGGGAGCTTTTTTTCTTAAATTATGTAACTAATTTTACAAAGAAAAACTCACTTGATACAATTTTTAGGTTTGATCGGTTGCTAAGATTTTGTTTTCGGATGCACATAGATAACTGTAGATACAGTGCATGTCAAACCTAACATTTGTGATTTTGAAAAATAAATCTGTAAAGAGGAAAAGTTACGTTTCTGGAAAGTTTTTTTTTTTTTTTTTTTTTTTTTTTTTTTTTTTGCTGGTCCATGAATTAAGAGCTGGAAATAAAGGACAAGAAAATAGCAAAAGGGCTTTTTTTGGGGGGTATGATTTTTAAAAAAAGTCAAGGCTCTCCACTGAGGAACACTGACTGATGCTCTTTTTTACTTATATTTTTAAACTCGATAGAAACCCATTTTATGTAATATCAGATTTAATTTTCTTTATATTTAAGTCATTTTTTCTCATATTTTTCTTAAGTTTACCAATTCAGCTTCGTTAAGATTCTATATAGTAAATTTACTCAAACAAATTAAACAGAAGATAGATCATTAGACAACCAAACAAATATAAAAATGTTTGCCCTATTATTAGCTGTATTACCCATCTTTAAAAAAGAATAGTTGGAAAAAGAGAATGTATTTTTTTTACCATGTGCCTAACAAACAAGGAGAACTAAAAAAGTTGATTTCTCGAATCTAACAGGCGGACAGTACAGTGTTTAAGAAAACAATTTAGTGTCTGAGGCAGGCTTTTCTTTTCACTTATCGCCAAGATATTTGCTTGGATTTAGCTCATGTGGAATAAGCAATGTAGTTGATACTATATGTTACTTTACTTGGATTCATTATAGAAAAGGTAGAAAATTTGTCTTTGGAACGAAAAGTTCACCGGAAAGCCTAAAGAACAAAAAGGACAGTTTAAAAAAACAACTCTTGTAAAAGATTTTGAGTTCCTTGGCCTTCTGTTTTATTAAACTTCCAAGAACCTGAATGTGCTTCATCATGGATATATTTGTGGATAAAAAGATCTGTCAGTGCATAACATCCTTGTAGGTGAAATTCATTCAGCTTCCATTATTTTAATGTTATATGGAACAGAAGGGGCTGCATGGTGTTGCATTGGGTTAGCATTGCAGCCTTCTTGCAATAAGGTCCTGGGTTTGATTCCTGGTCTGGGGTCTGCATTGAGATAACCCTCTCATCCTGTGGATACAAGGGTTAAAAGTTATCTCCGGATACTCCGGCTTCCTCCCACAGTCCAAAAACATGACTGTTAATTGGCTTCTCTAAATTCTTCTTAGGTGTGAGTGTGTGCATGAATAGTTGTTAGTCCTGTTTGTCTCTGCATTGCCCTGCAACAGAATGGCGACTTGTGCAGGATGTACCCCACCTGTCTCCGATTGGCAGCTGAAGATAGGCACCAGCACTCCTCGCGACCCCAGCTAGGATAAGTGTGATGGAAAATGGATGGATGGAACAGAAGGAAAATATGGCTGCTTTTGTTCTCAAACAGAAAAAGTCGAATAAAGTTTTAATGGAATCATTAATTCAAAGTTAGTGTGATAAATGGTGTAATAGAAACCAAACTTTTACACAGCTTTGATACAACTAGAGGGACTAAATAATCTTATTGAATGTATGACATTAATAAAAATAGCATATATCTGCCAAAAACTTTACCCTGCATTTATATAACAGTGATCCTGTGACATTGTAGAAACTAGGAACTCTCCTATCGGCCTTTTGGTTAGAAGGGTGAAGGACAACATGATGTAAGAACATTTGTTTTTGTTTTTATTAAATGGTTTATCATATTTATATATTTTTTTACAGCCTACAATTTGCCATATAAAGAAAGTCATAATCAATGGTCTATGCGGAACTATAAAGACTTACTCTAGTTATAATAAATGTGATCCTGATATTAATCTTTACCACCTTATGGTCCTTTATCTCCTGTCAAGGACATAAGTTCAGCCTGAACCCCTGATGAAGCATAGTTCCGATTATCTGATCTTTCTAATCTGCTCATAGATTAGATGGCTAGGTTGCTCCACTACAAGGAAATTATTTTTGCAGCTGATTCAACCAATCTCCCACTCCTCTTTCTTGCTATTTTGTATTTATACTTCTTATTTAGATATGCCAATCAGATTAAAAGCATTTAGATTTCTAAAAAAAAGTGAAAAGACACAGAAACGGCAAAATAAATTGTGTTTATAACTAATAAAGAAAAACATATGAATATTTTTTGGTAAACATGACAAGATATGTTTCATATTCTTTCTTGTTGCATTCATCCAAGGTGTGAATCCACTGATATTATCTCACCTAAGACAGTTTGATCATATAGCAAAAAATTAAGAATTGCTTATTTCATATTTCCCCTGTACGATGAAGACTCTACACACTAAATTATAATTTTACTGCAACACACATCTCTGAGGTCTTACCCTGTTCTTATGATGGAGAGAGTGAGGGTTCGAAGTTGACATGAAATATATGATTTTATCTCTTCAACAGAGTCCATAATAAGCTTTCAACCAGAATGTCTGAATTCAATAAGAGTGCTATAAAATAAATAGCTACTGCAGGATGATTGCATTAAAGAATGATGCAAATTGTTTTTGTTGGACAATAACAAAAAAAAAAAAAAATCAGTGATATGGTACTAAAAACTATTGTTTGGGCTTTACAAATTAAAACATTAAGAATGCATAACATACCAGATTTAAAAAAAAAAATCAAAACTCAATGTGAACTTACTCTTTTGAGAAAACATAGGAGGAGCCAGGGGAGATAAAAGGAAAAAGAGATTCTGGACATGGATGACATAACAGAAAATATCAGTTTGACCGTCTAACAGATGGGCTGTACTGATTGCTGATTGATCTTTGACAACATAAGACACAATAGTCTTGGTTATATAATTCAGTTTAAGATACAAGAAGTGTAGGTAGCTTCAAAGTTCACAAACAGGAAAAAAGTCTAATTGAAACAGCTTACACTGCATCCACCATCTCATTGTTGTAGAATGAGCAGTAATGCTCATGGTTATGAACTATAGCAGTGCTTTCATTGGTGCATCTTATAATTCTGGTACAATTCTTAGTTACATTTACATATTTTGATTTAGTTCATGTTGAAAGAACATCTATTGCTTAGGATTAAGGTTTATCATATGACACAGCGATAGGTGAGACTGTTTTGGATTTACAGCTTGGTAGAAAGTGTGGCGTGGTTTGATCAATGCCAAATTATTTTTGAATTATCACTCACTGGCACGCTAGGTGCAGCTTGATATCTTGTAAATATCTTTTATTTTTTTAGGTATCAAATAAATCCATGCAATAAAAGAGTGGACCCAACAAATCAGATGATTTATGTCTCTAGATGGTTTTAAAATGATTGTCTAATAATTTTTGCTTTATATCGCTGGAGATGCAAATCATTGCAGAGAACAAAAAAATGTATATATATATTTTTTTTACATTAAAACCTTATTTCAAAGGTGAAACAATGCAAAATGGATTCCTATGTTCAAGACAACACGTTTTATCTTGCCTAAATTATACAGATTGTATGTTAATATGTAAAACGCCAATGCTGTTTGATGTATCATGATGTATTAAGACATGTTTTAAATGAAATGTATCAACAAACTGCATTGCTCCCTAATACGTTAAGGACTCCAGCTCTAACCAAAAAAAATAATAAAATGGTGAAAACAACAAAAAATGCAACATGTGGCATTTTCCTGTGACCAGTAAAATATGTTAATACTTTAAAGCGGAGGTCTTCAACAGGGGGTCCGTGACCTCTAGGGGGTCCACAGAGGTACTGTATGGGGGTTGTAAAAGTTTTGGTTGATTAGACTTTTTTTTTATATATTCCCCCTGCAATTTTTTTCCACTTATTGAAATGTCTTTAAATACACATTAACATGAATTCAACAAACTGTAGTAAACAGATAAATGGAGGCAGAAGATGTTTTCAGTCATCAATGCACACATTCAGCAAAACACAGGAGATCTTTCAAGCTGGGCACTGTTTCATTCACAACACATGTCCCATCTACGAGGAATCAGAATCAGAAATACTTTAATAATCCCAGGGCGAAATTACTTTCATTACATTACTCCATCTGTAATAGAGTAACTATAAGACCAGTTTGATATAACACAGTTTTATACAATATCTATATCTAGGGGGTCCCCGCTCCATCTCACCATCAGTTTGGGGGTCCTTGGCCTGGAAAACGTTTAAGACCCCTGCCTTAAAGGTATAGTGGAGGATGATCTTTTTCCAGGTGGATCATCAAAATAAGTGGTCCTTCTAATTGTCAATCATTCAAGTGATATGTTTACGTAAGGCCTTCCTACGTACTCGTCCCCATTTTCACTTATTGGCAGTGAGTCTGACACAGTGGAAAAATTGTAGATCTTCTTTTGGAAAGTAAGCTTGTATGAGCAATGCAAATAGCAACTTTTAAACAGGACGTGCACAAGAAGAAATGGGGTTGCTCTCGCATGCGTTTAATAGGCATTCGGTAAAAGTTTAAAAACAACACACTGGACTTGGTTTGCAAGGTTTGAAGAACATTCTTTCTTGAGAGCGGGTACAGGGTAGTGCATGTGCATTTTTTTTTTTTGAAGTGGAGAGGACAGGTCTTTTTAAAAAATCGCAAAAATCCTCCACTATACCTTTAAGAGATTGGAACTGTGGCGCTGTCAAACAGAAGGAAGTGCGGGTTTTAAAATAATGGAACCAGTTTTACTATGCTCATTTGAAAAATAAAAAATTCACAAGATTTTTATTTTGAAATAAATAAATACATCTCTATCATCAACATAAACCCGAAGTAAATATGTTCAGTCTGATATGAAAACTACAGAATAAAGACGGCTAACATTTATTTTGAAAGTCTTGACCGGAAACCATGATTTGTATCTTTGCTAACTTGCCTTCTATTTCCTGGGATGCTGTTTTCACGAAAACAAAGCTGCTGAATCGAAGAGTTACAGTTGAACATAAGACAAAAAGTCAGCTATTTTCGACTAAAAATCTACTTTTACCTTTTCTTTATTACAAATTACGAGGTAAGACATTAAAGGTCTTCTACTAGCTGTCTGGCAGTTCCATGTAAACATTAGCTGCCAAATATATGCCTGAACTGCAATGCCGGTTTTTAGACGCTTTATTGACAAATAATAAAGTATAACGTTTTATATTATCTAATTAATGCCTTACAATTATTATAGATATGCAAACGGCGAGCTAATACTGAATTACAGTGAGGTTTTAATCAGTGAACCAGGCCTGAGGTTGTCTAAGTGTATTTACTACAAAGTCCAGTTTTGAGTTTTTTTCTTTGATCAATCTAATTGTGAGTTGTAATAAGTATTTCCCAGAAATGCACCAATCCAATCTTTTTAGGCCCAGGTGCCAATCTGATACCTGGGCTTGTCATGTGAGTGAAGGCTTTAGGCTTGACATACATTGTCAAAGAAAGAAAAAAAAAAAAAGAAAAGCTAAATAAAAACCCAGCTCAGATATCAGTCTACTTCTAATCAAATAAAATCTACAGTAGCAGCACAAGATTTAAGTGCACTTCCATGTAAACTAAAAACTGCTTTATTTTTGAATGTAAAATAAAACTTAGCAGCTGCCTAAAACTCAGTTTAAATAGCTGTAACTGTATTTCTATTTAAAGTAATGATTGGATCAAAATGCTGCATTGATTCCCTCCATGATATCCACCCCAGCTGATTGGTCAATATTAAGGCCGATGTCTGATCCTGGTTTTTGGATTGCATCTCCACCATTTAGTTGGTTATTAACTGCCCTAAGACTTTACTTGATTTATTCTTCATCTAAACTTAAGTTTTGCTTGTGTGCTATAAGAAGCTGTTTCCCCGCTGGTTGAGGAAATGGGCCGGATCTTCCTGGATCACATCGGTGGGAGTCGCCTCTTCTCCTGTGCCAACTGTGACACAATTCTGACCAATCGTGCTGAACTCATCTCTACACGCTTCACTGGAGCAACCGGCAGAGCTTTCCTCTTTAATAAGGTGCCCAATAAGTTCTAAAACTAGCTGTTAACTTTAATTTGTAGGGACTGATAAAGCAGTAATCTTAATGGCTGCATATATCAATTTATATATATACAGAGATCTGTAAAGTGTTTGAAGAGTTAATTTAAAAGCTAAAAACCTGGATTTTTGGACAAGTAGAAAATCCATTTCCTAATCATTTAAAGAATAGAATTACAATAATTTTAAGCAATGGGTGGGAAAAGCATATATAACCATCTACAACAGAATGGAATATAACAGTACACCGTTTAACCTCTGTTATGAGATTAAAACCAAAAATATGCAAATCTTTTGACATAAGAATAAGTTATGATTGAAAGATATTCATCAATCTGGAGGACAAGGCTATCTGGAGCACAAATATTTTTTACCCCATAAAGTAAAAGGTTGGACTCGAGAATAATTATTACTTTATGAACAATTAGGAATACCACATGTAGTTTTATGTTGTAAGTTTTCTATTTTTAGTCCAATTACAACAAGCAACTGTTGCCCTGCAGGTTGTGAATCTGCAGCACAGCGAGGTGCAGGACAGAGTCATGCTGACCGGAAGACACATGGTGCGAGATGTCAGCTGCAAGAACTGCAACAGCAAGCTGGGCTGGATGTACGAGTTTGCCACAGAGGAAAGTCAGCGCTACAAGGAGGGCCGAATAATCCTAGAGAGGGCTTTGGTGAGGGAGAGCGAAGGCTTTGAGCACATTCCATCTGATGCTTCATGAGTTCACCATCATTGCCAGTGTGCTCAGAGTCATACAGCTTTTCCCTCAAGCAGTAGTTCACCCTCTTGCATGGACAGTGATCACTTTGCAGGTAAAGCTGCGCCAGAAAATAAAAAAAAAATGCTTCGATGGGTGTTTGTGGGAAATCCAGAGTTAAATGAGAATGGTGTTGCTTTCCTGCCCATTTTAGATTCCTCCAGTTGTATTGCAGGGCCAGTAGGGTGCAGTGTTGTTCAAATGGTGGGAGATTAGCTGTTGGAAGAACAAATACGATTCTCTCTTAAATTAAAGTGCGGAGCTCAGAGGTGGAGCATTAAGCTAAATAACCCAAGCTTACGATAATTAGTGCTGTTTGCTTTATTTTTTTCTTTTGTTTCTTTTGTCTTTCTATTTATTTTCATTGTAGTGTTTATTTATTCTATTTAGTGAAAAAAGTTATTATTTTGGGCCTGTTAGATATTATTATTTAAAGTTATTCAAATAAAATACATTTCAGTAGAACAAACTTTGCCTCTGTGAGTTTCCATTTACCAGAATTTGTAATTTCAGTCACATTGTCTTTGAAGTTTTATTTAATTAGTTTTTGAAAATTTTGTCATTTTCTAATTATTCAAAGGATATTGGATGGCTATGTTTTCTAGCATGAAATGAAACGAAACATTTTTATTGAATCAATTTCCTATTTTGCATTGATTTTTATAATATTTGTTGAAACACTGATGGATTAATCCATTAATTTAGTGAGTGTAAGATATTTTATCTTCTAATTTAGTAGCTTCTAAGAGCAGTAATGTTAGAAATTAAAATATACTCTAATTATTCCGTGCATCACTGTTTTGATTCTATAAATGTTAAAGACCTTAGGACTGTATGAGACATTTGAAATTCAGCATTTTTTCCCCCCAGCTTTTATTTCCTTTACATGGTCACAAGTACAGAACAACAAAATGAATTCTGCATTTAACCCGTCCCCTTTGGGGAGCAGTGTGGGGTTAAGGATCTTTGTTCAGGGAGCCAGAGAGGCAGTGGGGTTTGAACTCAGAACCTCTGGATTCCAAGTGCAATGCCCCAACAACTAGGCCATCACTGATGCTGCCTTGTTCATGATATTATTTGTATTAGCATTAGTATTTGTTTTTTAGCAATGTCCTCTGTTATGATGTCTCATAACAGTTTGAGTCCAAAGTGAATACATGCTGGTCCCAAATACCAAAAGCTGAAGTTCTTAGAGTTAAACGAACCAGAAATACATCATACTTTATGTTTTTATTTGATAAAAGAAAATCAAATCCTTCTTTTTCCATCCACTGTATAATTACACTATACTATACTTTGTGTTGAATGAATGAAAGTACCGGTATGTCAAAGAAATGAATTATTCTTTGACATACTTTGTTCTACAACCATAATTGGAAAGAACTTGTGTTTTTTGAAGAAGCTAATAAGATGTCTTAAAACACAATTCAAACATGGTACTTGGCTAAGTTGTTAGGTTAATTGTTTGAGGAATTATGTATTTTTTGTGCTCGGATACTTTTAAGCCTGATGACGTTTTTTAAATTTAATTTGGTAAAAATATTAGATATCATTTTCCTTTCACTTCAGTTATGAATGACTGGTATGTCCATTACATAAAATCCAATGCAAATGTAATACAAAAAAAATTCAAGAGAGAATGCTTTTGTGAAAACAGACTTTCTTCTCTTGTACGAATATTAAATGGTTGCTTTACTAATGGAAAAAAAAATTCTGATCATAAAAGAAAAATATGTTTGCACTACGGAAGAGGATTAGTACGGAAGAGGATTACACAGTTACCACGTCACATGTTGATTTTAATACGTAATCCCTGTGATTCTTTACATTTTTCACTTTTGAGCAGACAACGTTTTCAGGATATCCTGGTGTCGAATGCAAACGCACCTTTGTAGTTGCGCTGCATTCTGGGAAATGTAGGAGGAAACCGGGAGGAAGAATTTTTTGTTGTAGTGCTGGTTTGGCAGCTTTCAACCTATGTGTCTGGATAGCTTCTCTGATAAATATACATGGCATGTAACAATAAGAGGGTAACTGACTTCCTTTCTTCTCGGACGGAGACAAAGCTGTACGAAAATGGCCGTAGGTAAGTCATTCCCCTTCTTTTTCCTTCTCTAGTTATCTAACGTCAGCCCGACGAGCTAATGCTAGGTCGCGTGAGGGGTTTTAGCTGAAGTTCAGTTATAATAAAGTTATGTTAAAGCTGCTGCACTAAATTCAGACGTTTGCCCTCTAAACCAAACCGTACTTTTCACAATGCCTAAATTGTATATAACTAAATGTTAAACCCTTTCTCTCCAGAAAACGTGAGCGTGGTGTTCAAGGTGTACTGCCTTTCGGTGATGACACTAGTGGCAGCCACCTACACTGTGGCATTAAGGTACACTCGGACCATCTCATCAGGGGACCTGTACTTCTCTACAACAGCGGTCTGCATCACTGAGGTCATTAAATTAATACTGAGCCTCGTAATGCTAGCGAAGTAAGTGCTGGGACCATTTAGTTCACTTCTGCACAATAAAATAAAATAATAATTAAACTTTATTGATCTCACATTGGAAAAATGTACATCTGATTTAACCCCACCCCTTTGGGGAGCAATGGGCTGCCATTGTGCGGCGCCCAGGGAGCAGTGTGGGGTTAAGGGTCATGGTCAGAGAGCCAGAGTGGCAGCCTGTGGGAGTGGGTTACGAACTCACAACCACAGGATTCCAAGCCCTATGCCGTAACCCAGGGGTCGTAACCCAAACTGCTCAAAGAGCCATATTGGACCAAAAAAACAAATCTGTCTTTTTGTTGTTGCATTGATGAAATGATCGAAACACGATAAAGGAATCTTTCTATTGTGGACGTGTTTCTGTTGGGAGGAGTTAATTGAGCCATGAGGAACCAAGCAGGAATTACATTCATCAGAACAGAGCTCTCTAACCCTGAAATCCCACATCCTCCGTCATCAGTGTTCATTGGTGATATTTATGCTTTTAGGATTTGGGTAAAAAAAATGGAAGAAAGTTCACATCCCTGCATCAGAGCGCTAACTGTTGGATCTGTGGATGGTTTTCCATCCTTGCAACCAAACTAGCAGCAGTAGTGGAGTTTGAATATGCAGTTCACTTCTTAAATCTATATTTGCGCTCCTCTAATTTATCCAGTTCTGCAATCACACTTTTTCTCTCCCTCCCAGCTTGGTGGACGGCTGCATATTTAGCTTGCCTTTCCAAATTTTCTCTTTTTATTTTTTGACAACCTCTCATTACAAAGCAAAAATGCGGGCAATCCTTCCACATCAATAATGAAAGCAAATGATTCGGTCCATTATTTGAATCCTCTTTTATCATCAGCTATCTTCCTTTTTTCCCTTTGGGATCCATGGACCGAGACACACCTGCAGCTTTGTTTCCCTGGCACCGCGCTGCGCTGGTTGCATGTTATGACCACTGATCTCTATGGCTATGACGCAAATTATCATTTAAATGTATTTATTATACAAAAGTTTACAGCATTGGAAGACATAATTCTTTTTTTTTTTTTTTGCCTCCTGAACACCATATGAAAACAAACAAACAAAAAAGATTTTATAAATTTTTAAAAAAGCTCCAGGGAGCCGCAAGGGGGACGCTAAAGAGCCGCAGCTTGCCAACCCCCGCCCTAACCACTAGGTTGCCATTCACCATCAAAGTTATTTTTGTTTAAACAAAATTTGTAATGTCATGGAAAAGATCAATTATTTACATAACTCGGTAAAGAATGTATCTTGTTTTACACAGACCTCCTACTTACAGTGCCAGTTATTTGAAGCGTTTATTGCTGGTTGTTTAGATGGGAAGGGCAGCTCACGTTAAGCTGGAATTTATTGTCTGACTATTTCAATTTGAAACACTTAAAAATAATGAAATCAATTATTTTGCCGACAGTCATTGGGGAACTTGCCTTCCACAAAGAAAGGTTAAGCCAGGTGTTTATATTTCTGTATTCATGTATATTGAGAGAAAGTTAAGTGGAAGAAAAAAACTTGTGTTAGAACAGACAGGCATAAACTATTGCCTTATAGGAATGATTGGAAGAAGATTGGAGAGGCATGGAACCCAAGCTGCATGGACCAATTTTTAAAGTCACTGACAACTTTGGATGATGTGTCATTTTGATGCCTGTCCACAGTGTTTTATCAATTTAAAGGTAAATGCAGCCATCTATCAGGACATTTTAGATCACTTCCCTTATAGAAGTTTGGTCTGATTACGTTTGTCAGCAAATTCGTCTTACTGTCAAAAGTTACAGTAATAAAATTTAATGACCAATCAATTAAATGAATCCTGCTATTAAAGACCTGGCCCCAATTTAGATACTACTCCATTGTAAAGGTTGAAGAACCTATAGTTGTAACTGCAGCTGCAAGGCATTTGTGACGCATCTATAGGCTGATAACTTTGTCCTTTCTTTGCCAAACACCCTGACCTCACTAAGGTTATATTAACACTCGGAAAATCTTTTGTTCTACTTGTTTAGTTTGGACCTTGCAGACTTTAAAAAAAAATTTTATTAAGGACTTGAAGGTATTTTGTATTTAATTCTGTTAAAGCATTTCTCATGTTAAGTTTTCCACCTGTTAAAAAACAAAAAAAGGTGTTGAAATGGTGATGCAGTTGGAAGCACTATTGCCCAGCAGCAAGGAGGTCTGAGGTTTGAATCCCACTGTAGGCTCTTTCTGCAGTGTGTGTGTGTGTGTCTTCAGGCGATTGTATGGGTTCAACCCTTGATATTTCAGCCACTCCCCACTGTCCAAACATGTAGCCGAGGATGAGTCTCTCTCAGTTGCCCTCTGTCATAAGTTTGTGCATATTTGGCTGTCATTTCTGTGCGTCTCTATGTTGCCCTATTATTGTTGGGCAGCAACTCCAGGGTGTAACTTGGCTTTTGCCTAATGGCTGCTGTACAAAGCCTGTTTTTTGTGAACAAACCTGTTCCAGACAGATAAGTTTTCCCCGATTGTATAGATGGGACAAGTATGAAGGCTTTCTTTCAACCAACTGTCTTGGAGTGTTAGAAAAAAAAAAAGTAAAGAAAAAATTGAAATTAATATTTAATTCATCATCTTTCACATATTTATTTTATGCAACTGAGCTCAAATTCAAATTATGATGAAATTTACAGAAACCCACATTGTGACTAAACTTGTCAGGTAAAGGAGATGCAGGTCAATATGTAAGCAAATATTTGACATATTTATACATAAACAAAATATCTATTCTGCTTTACGCCCTATTTACATTTTATCTTTTGGTTTTCATACATTTTATACCTCGAGAGATTGAAACAAAGATTGAAGACTATTGAAACAAAGAACATTTTTTTCAGCCTTTAGAAGTTCTCCAAAACCTGAAAAACTGAGAGCTGCTGAACTGGTTCTGGCATGTTTTTTTTTATTACAATGTTCTCTTCA